TGACTTACCTCTGTCATGATGCGTTCTATATCTTAGTGATTTGGCCCACGAAAGCAATGGCCCTTCTCGGGTAGTCTGTGCCTGTAATCACGAAAAGCTTACTTCAAGGATTTGTATATTGCTCAAGTGGGGTGCGTATTACAGACGTCATACCGTAGGAGCTGCAGCATTATAATTGTATCGCACTTGAAGTTGCTTATGACGCCCAGAAAACGTGAGACTCCGACTTCACCTGATAATGCTATGGTAGGACTCTAACCGTGACTTCACCTGATGATGCTATGGTAGGGACTCTAACCGTGACTTCACCAGATGACGCTATGGTGAGCCTCTAACCATGACTACACCTGGTAATGCTACGGTAGGGCTCTAACTGTGACTTCACCTGATGATGCTATGGTGAGCCTCTAACCATGACTACACCTGGTGATGCTACGGTAGGGCTCAACTGTGACTTCACCTGATGATGCTATGGTGAGCCTCTAACCATGACTACAACCTGATGATGCTATGGTGAGCCTCTAACCATGACTACACCTGGTGATGCTACGGTAGGGCTCTAACTGTGACTTCACTGATGATGCTATGGTGAGCCTCTAACCATGACTACACCTGATGATGCTATGGTGAGCCTCTAACCATGACTACACCTGGTGATGCTACGGTAGGGCTCTAACTGGACTTTACCTGATGATGCTATGGTGGGACTCCAACCGTGACTTCACCTGATATGCTATGGTAGGACTCTAACCGTGACTTCACCAGATGACGCTATGGTGAGCCTCTAACCATGACTACACTGGTGATGCCACGGTAGGGCTCTAACTGTGACTCACCTGAGGATGCTATGGTGAGACTCTAACCGTGACTTCACCTGATGATGCTATGGTAGGACTCTAACCGTGATCACCAGATGACGCTATGGTAGGACTCTAACCGTGACTTCACCAGATGATGTGGTGAGCCACGTGAAATAACACGAGCTCCAATCGCAAAGAACGGGCGTCGCGGTGCGCGTGCTGCATCGCATGATACTATGTTAATCTATATTGTTATTGTTACTATCTCACCAACCAGCATTCACCAGAAGACTGCACGCAAACGACCGCCGATTCTCTTTCAAAGATCTCGTCCGAAGCTGTTGATGGCTGTGTTACTGGGATCAGCGCTCGCACTGAGCAGGTCTTTTTGTGTTAATCCTGACCCCTCTATCCGACAGTGATATTTCGGCTCAGCGACGGAACGGAACAACAACGGACGGTGAACACTGAACGTGCCCCAAAGCTCAGCACGGTTGTTCCCGCACTCAAAGCAGGCCGCTGCGTTCGGCCGGGTCAGAGCGCAGGCGAGCTTATCAACCGGGCCATCAGGATACCTCTGGAATAGCTTTAAAACTCCGCCACCGGTAGGTCCGCCAAATTATCAGCAGTTATCAGACGGTGGAGTTGAAAGATTCCGGGGATTTATTTCGACAACTGGTAAGATCTCCGACCCACACAATGAGTGGAGGCTTCCGCGGCGTCTTTTCGCCTCCATATACGGTAGTCAACAGTGTCTTGCCAGGCTTTGGATTGTTTGATACATTTTATTGGCTGGCTTGGCCATGTCCCATTCGGGGTCATTATTGGTTGGCTTGGCCGTGGACCAGTCAGGGTCAACCACGCTATACGTCACACCAGGTCGCCAGCAAAAGTTATGTAAGGTCAACTCCTGCGTGTGTAATGAAAATGTTTTTTTGACACCCATTTGTTGTCAGTGGGGTTAAGTGGGGTAATTTGAACACACTGAAAAGTTGAACCACCTCCGTATTTCCTGTTCCAAGGCTCCATGCTTCCAAACGGTACCTAGTGGTACGTTTGAGAAGCTCGGCCTTTCTGGTTTCAACGCGATAGGCGGCGCGCGGCCAGGGAGCGCACTCTGAACATTGATATCATTTAACATATCTATTTAAATATTTCCGAGAATACATAACGTCCTCTGTTGTCTTTGATATCAAAGATAAGGCTTGTTCACTGACTCACGTGTATTTGGCCATGCCTGCTCCCAAAACTGCCATAGTCTTCGCGCGGCTGAGCTTGAAAGTAAATCGTCAGTCGTAATGTTTCATCGGTCATGTTGTAGTGGGGCAACTTGTTTCAAGACGTATGTGGGCAAGATGATCATGGCTCAATTTATCACACTACAGGGGCGGAAGACCAACGGCTTCGTGTCTGGCTCGTACCGGCGCTTTCAGTGCACACGCGGTGGGAACATGCTTTGACAGTTTGGGGAGGGTGTTAGAAAGGCCCCCATTCTCGTCTGAGAATATCTACGTTGATAACACGGCGCTAACCGCGGTGCAGACACCAAAAAGAATGGTGACGAAAAACCGAGGCAGGCGGGGTTCATCACTTCCGCGGAAAGAGGAGAGTTGTGCGTGCTGATTTGTGCAAGCAACACCGTGGGGAATTATGCCCCACCACTCATCCTCTTTCCCAGAGTGAGCTGTAAGGCACCACTTCCTTCGAAGCGCATCCAGACACTGTGCAGGATATGCAATGAAGGGAGATGGAAAAACGAGGATGCATTCCTCGTGTACCTCACCCAGTCTCAAAACACACACGGTGTTCTGCAGAGCGACAAGACCCCATCGTCTAGGACAAACACGCCGCTCATGTTTCGCTTCGGACAAACGAGTTCGCCCGCGCCAATGGGATCACAGCTTCTCCTTCTTCCGCCGCACGCTTCTCACTCTTCCGCCGCACGCTTGTCACCGCCTTCAGCCTCTGGGCGTAAGGGTTTTCGGTCCACTGAAGATGTACTACAACAGGATGATGACCGACTGAATGCGGCAAAATCCTGGCAAGACGGTGGCAATGGAGCGGGCGCGCAGGCCCAGGACCTAGCAGCGCCCTTTTACGAACTGAGTTGGCACCCGGTGGAACCGCACTGGACGTACCAGTTACCTATGTTACAGTGGAAGCCATATCGTGCCAGTCACCTATGTTACAGTGGAAGCCATATCACACATGCCAAGAGCTCTACCACGACAGGGAGGAACAGCCAACCGTAAGCGAGGAAGGTCAATAGCGCTGACATCAACTCCCGTACAGAAGCGGCTCCAGCCGGAGCGGCAGAAAAAGAGAAGCAGGCCGCTATGCATGAAATCAAAGCCACACAGCTGAAAAGCGAAGCGGGAGTCGACAATGAAGAAAATGTCGTCTTTCGACGATGATAGTGGTGAGGAAATGGGGTGCTTGGTGCGCACCAAGCCATACAGCAACAGCCGACACGAAGAGAAGTGTGTTACTATTAATTTTAGAAATACGCACGTGTATCAGCAGCATTTTTCACAGATAAAAAATGTTGCCTAGCTTCCCACACTACTTGGAACATGTTACTCCAACCACGGGACAAGATGTACCATTGGACAATACCGTGAACATTGATAAATCATTGATCCATCGCAAATAGTCACGTACATCATTGTTACACAATGTTATGCGCGCAGAAGATCATTGATCATAAGATCAATGATCTTCATATGATCTTCTGATCTTCTGATCTTCGTGATCAATGAAGATAAGAAGATCATAACATCATTGTTATGCGCGCGGAAGATCGACGTTTCACCGTATATAGTAAAAAACTCGAAATTTCCATGCGTTTTATCGCGGTGTATTAAAACGTCAGAAATGGCTCATCCCACACCACTTTGCTCTAAAGTTACATATTTTCCAAACCGATGAATCCTAGAGGCCACTTTAATCGCACAAGTTGCGACACAACATGGAATGAGGTGAGGTGAGCCTGACCTGACATGACTTTCACTGGGCTGATCTTGAACTCGACCTTTGTAAATCTAATGCTCTAATGCCGGTTGGCGAGATGAGCTCTCGTTTGATCTTGGTGAGAGATATGAGACGAACTCTACAGGACCACTATTCGCCCAAATCATGGGTCGATTTAAGTGTTTGAAAGCATCCCGCGTGACTTACAACACCATCAATACATGACAGGATTTAAAGCTGAAGTTCAAGATGGCGTGTGCGCAATGTAAGTGTTGACCAGTGCTATCCACTGTCACTTGAATATAGATGTCACTTAGATATATGAATATTTCGTTTTTTCCAGATTATCAACTAACCATTCCAGCTAGTCAAGGATTCGCACACGTCGAATGCCATTTGCTTATGGCTGGTGCCTCGGACAGATGAAAATGCTGTCGTATGGGCCAAATTTGATGCTAAAGAGAAAGATGAGATGGATATCATTTGTTCATAGCTACAACAACGGTTGAAGGGTCGCGGGCATAAATCGTGCTCATTGGAAGCATAGCCACTTCCTCCCTTTAGAGCAAACTCACAAGAACCTATTTACCTCGTATTTCGGGCTATGTTGTTCCCTGTAGTATCAAAATGTCGGTGCCCATGTCCAAAACGTTTCGAGCGGTCACTATTATTATATCTTTTTTAGTGCGCCAACTTCTTTAAGGCATGGCCAGCACACCAAAATTGCCGCCGGACAGTACATGATGCTCATAGTTATGTTTAAGGTGATATGGAGGACATTAAGTCTGAGAACGGAAGTTCGAGCGGCTTAAAATGCACACGCATAAAGCACCAGCAACCAACACGGCTCGAGCTGCATGCGTTGCAGCCATCTTCGTATATATCTTGTACGGAAACAGGGCTAATTGATTCCAAATGAGCAAAAAACAAAAGCAAAAACGGACGGTGTTAATCCAAACAGCATCGGTACCGCACCATGACACATATTCATTCCGTTTAGCATGCAAAAGGCACAGCATTGCAATTTGCATGTATCAGTAGTGGACTGCGTGCGTATGTCCTTTAATAATGAGAAGCGAGCGGCATGTACCTGGCCATACCAAGTGAATTTCTGGGAAGCCCACCGAAATGGCTTCCTAACATTTCTGAATAAATAGAACTGCATGCTAACAGAACAACGCAGTGATTTTCGGAGCGCCTCATTAGCGCCGGTTCTTCCACAGTACTTACGTGACCGGACCGGAGAGGCCTGAGTCGTCACGTGACCGATCTGGAGACGCCTGAGTCGTCACGTGACCGATCTGGAGACGCCTGGGTGTCAGCGCAGCGGCGACCCTGCAGAGCGTGCGCACGATGTCACCGCCCAGCGTCGAATGGACGCCCCTCCGAGGGTGAAGAGCCTATGTACCAGTGTTATCGATCTCCCGCGGTGCGCTTGTCAAACGCGCGTGCTCGGGCAAACCGCGAGAAGTCACGGATGTGGCGCGCGTGGATTGTCACAATAGCGCCAGCTGGTATGCTCATATGTGTGTCTCATCACGTGAGGAGGCCACGTGAAAAAAAACACTTATTTTGCGGCCAATGTGGCTTAGTGCTCCTGCCTTATGCTTGTCTAGCGTTTCCGCGGTCCGTACGTCTGTCGTTCCAGGCGTTTATTTGCGACGTCTCAGCAGGGACGCATGACGTCCACGTCGTTGCGCCGTATTTGACGCAGCCCTGTGGCCTCTCAGAAGTTCATTAACATTAATATCCTGACGACGCCTGTGGAAGTTTTCAGTTGCTTGCCGTGCTAACGTCCTTACGACATGCATTTATGCAATCGCACAGGCATGAACCACATTGCAGCCTGAAATGTCTTTGAATAACGCCGCGAGGGCATCAGTACTGTGTATTGCCGTGCTGCGCAAACACGGGCTTCCAGCACTTGGTAAGTACCAGCAAACTGCACGAAATCATCATTGCCGTCTCAGCACTGAATCATGTCTATAAGGCTGGATTGTTGAAATCAAAGTTTAGATCGTCATATTGTTTTTGATTTTTGCATCTATATTTCCTGAAACGCCCGCCCGGGTGACCAAAATCATTAAATCATTTTCGTGCGTCGTAGCGTAAAAGTAAAGACAGCCATTTATAATTAATAAGCATAACTTAAACCTGCAAGTCCCAACCTGATAACAAAAGAAGAGTTATAAAGGGCCTGGGCGCACGAAGTGTGCAAAAAGGTCATGACATGGCATACTCGCACAGTGCCACAACACACCAAACACACAGCAACACACAACAAATATTGTCCTGTAAAAAGCTCACGTTCTGCAAGTCTCGAAACTTTCTATCCATTTGTTAACATTGACACCAAAACAAAACGTCTTCACTCTTCAGACCATGTTCCTGGACTGGGGAGAACCGCGCAACCCAGTGTACGTCCTATGTGAGCAGAAAGAGGGGCGGCAAATGGGGAGGGTGGTGGAGTTGTGGCAGTTGTGGCTGTAACCCACCGCTCGACTTGTGGTGTGAGAAAGAAGACAGCGGTGATTAATTATGTGGTAATCGTTGACAATCTTTTGTTAGGAGCTTCATTTGTTATCAGAGCTACTTAACCATTTATGTCCGCCAGGTTTTTTTGTGCTCACAGTCGATAAGAGTAGAGGAGTGGACGTCACAAATTGTGGCGAGCCCAAATTCGATTGGAACAATTGTAAACCAGCGCCGCACGTCAGTGTGGCACCCGACAGTATTGCGCCTGGCAGTATCTTGTTGGTCGGTAGAACGCCGCCTATGTCAGGGAAGGAGATGTGGACCGCGAAAAGCATGTGATTGTGAAACTGAGCTCGGTGGAGAATATATTAGGCAATTCACCTACTGTCTAGTAAGGCCATAGACCGGTTCAATGAGCGCCCATGCGACCCTGCGACCATGCCAGAGACATAACTGTTATTGGTCGTGATGACATCGAGGTAAACAATGGGCGCTCTGGCGACATTTGGCGGCCTGTTTCGAACCGGTCAACAACAAATGCGCATGCTGGTTTATTTGCCATCTACATGCGGACGAGCTTAATCTTCGGTAGCTTTCCACGGAGCTTAATAGCGTGCTAGCTGGATCACGGTCGTTGGCAGGACCGCCCGGCAAAGCGGCTGTAGGAGCAGCGCATGGGCTGCCGGCCGTCCAATTCAGTCCTATCAATGATAACGTCGCCGCGATAACCTAAGCTGCAGTTGCTGACCTCAGCTCTGACCAGTGGACCCTTTATGACTTGGCTGCCAGCGTTCAGGGCGGGACGGCTCGTCCGACATGACGACCCGCGATATCGGGCCTCTAAACCACACAGGGTAAGGCTAAGTTCTCGCTCATTGCTAACAAGCGCCTTTTTCGGCGTCCTCGGTCGATGTTTTATTTCGATTCAGGTCGTCTCTAGATTAAAAATAACGACGGTATTAGCATCTAAAACATACTTTCAACATCGTGCTGTCGCTGGGCTGAGCACCTTTGTCGATGCATAAAGGTCTGAATTTGCTTGAACACACATAGCATGCCATGCACCATTCAGTTGGCTCGCGCTCGGTGCACGCTTGCCGTAGATATGTATGCGGGCAAACATGCAGGTGGAAAATCCAAGAACCCATCTTCAGGACATGGCGAGGTGTTCCTGCGCCACTATGCACCAATAGAGAGTTCTGCGTGACTGCAAAACGACACACGCACCAGTGGAATTAGCTTGCTCAGCGTAATTTTCCTTTTGTGGTGCTTCATCGAGTCCGCACATTTGAAATGTCGCCTTTACAGGCTCATTTCGTTTACAGGGAGCATTGTCGCTGCTTTCCCTGCTTCGGAGCGCTACACGCCTACTGCCGCGACATAGGTGCGTGCAGATAGAGGTGCCGTAATATGCAAGCCATTAGCAACGATTTAGTGTCTGGTGTCTGATGTCTAGATACCCGCGTGAATGTCGCGCTAAATTGCGTCTTTCGGAATAGCAATCGTTCCATAATCGAGGCTCTACATCGTCAACACACATAGTAGCTGCTCGGGCGCAAGCGATCAGCGTCCCTACCTAGCATTAAGGTGGTCAGCCCTTCACCATAGATCCCTATACCTTTACCTCGGGTGACCTCGAGGCTCCCTCTACCTCCGTCTAAGGGCTTCAGCTTAATCAGCTTAATTAGCTTAAGGATGCAAAGGCATCCCTTTGCCTGAGTTTGGGCCGCCCCTTTACACGGGCTTGGGGCTCTAACAGCCACGACAACACATTACAGCGCGCATTCCCCAACTTTACATGACCTTCAGTGATAATGCGTGTCATCCCGCAACATTAGCAAGCCTTTCCGTTAATACCCTTTACCGTACACTACGGCTTTCATGGTATCTTTGTTAGGCTCCAACACAACCCGGCGACAAAAAAAGTCCCCATGATTTTGGTGAGTCGCTCACCGATGACGGGTCGGCGACAAACAATGTATTTCTAATGGACCGGCCGGTCGGCCGATTCGCTGATTTTACCAGACCACTCTCAGCGTCCCAACTTAGACAGAAGAAAATACTGAAAAGATCTAGATATGGCGATTCATTTGGCTGCAAGGCATATTTTAATCGCTGCGATGCAATTGGAGTATGTGAGGTTGGCGGCGACTTTCAATGCACTGTGGCTCTACAAGCGGCATTCGCATTACGGCTTCGTGAATAATCATCCACCTTTGATTTTTGGGTATTGCTTACTTCATTGACTGATAATTCAGGGAAAACTAACGAGATGATCCAGTCAAGGTAGAAATGAACCTGTGATTGTCCATGCAGATTTTTGAAGACACAGAAAAGCAACAGAAAAGGTTGCTGGCTCACCATAGCAGTCTCGAGCACCAAACATTCCTTTTTTTGAAGAGAACCACGGGTTTGCGGCTGGGAGCTGATGGCAGTCCTCAGGGAAGGGAATAGCATGAGATGAGAATGGTTCTGAAGTGCCAATTTATGCCATTATTGCTTTCTTCCTGTCTGAGGATGGTTACCAATCAAATAGATCTTCAAATCAAGTTTTGTGCCAAACTCCTCTATTCGATTCCCAGTTTGCAGAGAAGTGTGCCAAATCTGGACAGATAGATACATTTTTAGGAACATTGGATCATGTTTCATCGTTTAGTCCTCCCACTTATCTTTGAAAACTGCCTCTGTTTGAAATGAATCATTTAATTAATGTTTTGTTAACATTGACATAATGATGATTTCCAGTTCGACATATTCCCAATATCAATCTTGCCTGTTGGAAACAGATATGACAGCATGCGATGTGGGCAATGAGGAGGCAACATTGGGTGAGAAGTAAAGAGTTGCAGAAAATGGGGGAGGGTTAAATGTAGTGGGGGGACAATAAGGGGGGGGGGGTAAATGTTCCATTACTATCTTCTTTTAACTGAAATATTTTCTTAAACAGGAGGTGGTTTTGTGGGATTTGGTATTTACTGATAATAGCACCCCTATTGTAACAGAAAAGCTGGAAGTGAGTCATTCTGCAGTGTTCATTTGTATGCATAATTTCTTTGTACCTATGAGCATGACAATTTCATGCATGCAAATTCATTACGTTTCATTACTCTTTTTTTCTAATATTTGAGTGAAACATTTTTCTCATGGAGCCCTGAACAAAATCACTGCTTCTATTAAGTGCATGTTGTGAGGGAAGACAGGCTAACTTAAATGCAGTTCATACCGGTAGAAGAAAACGATGTGGTTTATCTGGGTGTAGCATCATGTCAGGGGTGTCAATTTTATGTATGATGAGTGAGGGGGGGGGGGGGGGCAGCAAGTCATTGACCTCAGGAGTCTCCCCTCCCCTAAATGTGTTTGCCAACATATTTATTGTGCTTTGGTTGATTAGGGGGTTATTTATATTGTTCCGTTTGAGTAGAGTCTTTTCCCAGTCTCTTGCAATCTCCCAGCTAGACGTAGTTGGGGAGGAAGGGATCAGCATTGAAGGGGCCCAAGTAAGGGGCAAGGACCAAGCCCAAGATGGGGCAGGACCTTCAAAGCAGCTTGAATTGACATTCCTGCATCATGCATGACGAGTACCACAGATGCGCTTAGATTTGGTTGCTGCCGCGCATGCAAAGGGCTATTTTGATTTGTTGATTCAATCGGTAACAATGTTTTAATGCTGGTAATGGAAAATATCATGTTGATGCGCTAGAATATTTATTTCCATGACCCGAAATGCAGATTTCTACAACAGCATGTGTAAAAGAGATAAAAAGGATCGGAGCCAGAAGTGTTGCAAAGAATCTTCCACATTTATGTGGGGTTTTGGACTGAAATATCCATCTTAAAGAACTTTCGGTGCTGTTCGCATG